TGCTCTCAATCTCACCATGTGGACACACATTCAGGGCATATTCTCCATGTGCTAACTTGACAATCAGTCATCCCTGCATTACCTAAAATGGTGTTAATGCAAATGGGTAACTGAAAGGCTGGGCACATCTGTATCCAGCTGCCTATAAAAAATATTGGGCTTAGAAGCCTTGGGTTGGAATCCTGCTTTTCCCATTTTCTAGCTACATGACTTTAGGCAATTCACAATTCTCTGTGTGTCTCAGTTTCCTCTTCTATAAGATGTGAATGATAACATTTTCATTACTTTCCTCACCAAGGTATTGCGGGGCTCAAATGTGAGAGCACGTAGTGCTACATAATTACACTATTGATTGATCAATTGACTGCTTAGGTTTGTGACAGGATACTGACCCCTATAACAGATTGGGGAAGAAATAAAAGTCTGTAATAAGTAATCTCTACTGTATCATATCTAATTGGTGAAATAAAGGAACCATGAAGCCAGAGGCACAGAAGAAAAAGTAGTATTCCTGACTAAACTTTATACTTCTTTTCTACAAGCAGAGCTGACAAGATTAGCCCAACAATTTGTAAACTCTTTTCTTTTAAATGAATAGATCAGAAGATGAAAAGAAAAGCCAGATATTCACAAGAATGAATTCTCTCATCTCCCTTCCCACACAAGATTATACAAGTAGACCAGGAACTAGAAGCATAATCACATCCAAGCATTTAGATTATGTAGTTGTTTTCCATTAATTTTCTGCAACACTAATATTATGAGGTTTTCCCCCACCATTTTATGTCTTATGTTGAGAAGAAATCAATAGGTAGTTAGTTAATTTTATCTATGATTGTTCAGACTAGTGCATCCTGTCTCTGATTTTCAATAGAGTCACATAATTGTATTTACCATGTGATCTGGTATACATGGAGTTTGAACTGGACTGAATGAGAACAGGAGCAAGAGGCTAGTTATAACTATAAAATGAGTCAAAATTGGAAGATCATCCCTATCTCTTATGAGAAATAATATGAACTGTGGCTTTCTTCTCTATAGCGTTTCTCAGATCTCTGATCTTCCTCCTCCTTTCCTCCCTTTATCAAATCTATTATATATCCCCTAATTGTCTCTTAACCAGACAGCTATAATAACCATTTTTCCCCTCTAGCCTCCCTGCTTTCACATTTTCTGTCTTGTTAGTCTCCTTTAAACACCAGACTAACACAATTGTATTTCTTATTCACTGCTTTGAAAATATTTTCTTAAGGTTTCAACTAGAAACAAATAATCATGATGCCTTCCCCACTAGTTTGTGCAGGTGTATGTGTATATATGCAGTTATAGTTGGCCATCTATTTATTTTTTGCAATAATTTTCTCCTGACAAATTCTTGGGTGTTAATAATGTTTTACATAATTACGTAAAATACATGTACTGCCCATGTAAGCTCCATTCTTTGCATGGACACTAATTTTTTTGACTGACTCTGAGGTTTCATTGTGGAGGGGAATCACCAATGAGCTCCTTTTCTTCCAAAGCAAATTGTTACCCGCTCCATATTTTATGCTCTTATAGAGTTGTATGTGGCATCAAGAAGTTAAGGGTCACACAGTCATGCATCTGAAGTGGTACTTAAGCCTAATTCTTTTTGCTTCCAAATCCAGCTCTATCCACTATTCCAGGCTGGACTCTTATTTTTAAAATTCTTATTATTCTCATTAAAAAACAGCCAATGGTGGTGGGGACACTGGTAGAGAATAACAATTAAGGAGATTTTTTTAAGTCTATAGATAAAACAATAATTCAGTGACATAACAAACTTCATTAAGCTTTGTGCGTCAGTGGTTAGGTGTACAAAGTGCACAGGTTCTAGTTCATGCACAAGGAATAAAAACAAAAGCCAGATAATTCAATCCACAAACACTGTCTCTCTCCCACTTGCCCCTTCTCTGTAATTTTAGTTATCCAACCTGATGTCACTGAAAATATTCTAATAATACACAAATTGTTAAATACACCAAAAATTTGTTATGCTTCAACCTTAAGTTTACCTTTGCACTGTGAAGGAAGAAAAGATTTGCTAGGAAAGTCAGCATTATTGGCAGTTGGAAGTGTTTGAAGAGAACAAATTATTTTAAGGGCTTTGAACATTATCTGCATGTGGATAATTATAATACCTGACATGTACATAAGATGTTAAAGGTTTACAAAGTGCTTTAAATATATTATCTCATTTTATACTGAGGACAATCTTATGAGATGCTACTAAAATATCATCCTCATTTCATAGAAGAAACAGCAGCTTAGGCTCAGGGATGTTACATGAGTTACCCATGCTTATGTAGCTAATGCATAAGTAGCTAATGTAAGATTAGGGCGTAGGCTTCTCTTGACTCTAAATCTAGTTTTTTGATAACACCATGAAAATTAGATACATCTATTCTTTAGAGTATATCCAGCAGGAGCTCAATTATGAAACATAATAATAGATTAATTCATAATTAATGAATTTATAAATTAGTTTAAATTGAATTGTATGCACTTGAATAAAATCTTTCTTTGTTTTCTCTAGTTCCGGTTTTTCTTACTGTTTTATCTCTATTAGTCCAAATAGTGTATGTGGGCAGGGGATTAAGGAGAAGAAGCAGGGAGTTACTATACTTGATGTAACTGATACATATCAACTATACATAATGCTATGTAAAACCTATCATTGTTTTCTGTCCTCTGCAGCAAAATAGGTGTGGCCTTGACTTCATACAAATGTTTGCTTGTGACATCATAGAATTGGAATGAGCCATCATTTTACTTTGATTTCATCACCATACACCATCTGATGGCTGTGATGTTATCCTTTATTTATTAACTTTTAAATAAAGACATCTTTAAATTATCTCACAGGCTACTCGTATATTTAAAAATGACATGGCCAAAATTGCTTTGTTTAATGCTAACCTAAATCCGTCATCCACATATAAAATATTCCTCCAGCAGAATGAGGACAAGGATTACTTACTTCCTTCTTCTTTCCCTTATCCAATACACACACACACACACACACACACACACATCCTTGTGTCCAATAGAGTGTCAGCTTCATACTAATTGCTTGCTGAATAAATGAAAATTTATCACCCATAAAGAAGGCATTTAAGACAATTATGCAGAGAAAATTTGCTTGAATTATCTGGATAACTATCTTTAATTTCCACCTGACTTTAACTGTGAATACTGAGTCAACAATTGGTATTCCCAAAGACATCTAAGTCTTTCTTAGCCATCAACTGCAAAAAAATTCAATTGTATTAATTTCTGTTCTTGCTTTTATCTCTTAATATAGTTGCAATTTTTGTAGTCTTGTATATTTGAACTTGTGCCAGCTAAAATATAATTAATTAGCTTTTAGATGTGTCTTTTAGATCACTGATGAAAATATAAATGAAATATCATTGAGCCTTCAAAGACCTAAATCGGTATCCAACATAGATGAAGGGCACTTTGTAATTGGTTGTTGCTTATATTCAGTCGATCAGCCAATTCTAATCTACTACACACTACTATTATATACTATACTACTACTAAGCTATAACAATTTAATTTTTCAAAACATTTTGAGTCATTATACAAATGCTTTATTAAAGCACCAAAACAAAAGTAGATGACTTTTATCATTAATTTTGTAACTATTCTAACCAATGGGATAATGTTGGTCTGCTATCTGCATAGATCTAGTCATACAACAGCTTTATTCTAACCTTTGAAATGCCTTCCTATTGTTTAGTTTAAAAAAATCCATACTCCTTAACTTGGTGCTCCCGGCCCCTCCAGCTTTATCTCACATTATTAACCCATCAAGAAGCATTTACTAAATATCAACTATATACTGGACACTGTACTGGATACTAGAGATAAAAATACAAAAATGAAATAGTTTTTACCCTCAAGAAGCTTACATTTTATTGAAAGAAACAACATATACACATATTATCACATTATACATACATACACACACACACAATGCAAAAAAAGCCTTACGTAGAGAGTGGTGTTTGGACTGAACTTTGGAGGAAAATAGGGAATATAAAGGTCAGAGTTGAAAGGTAGAAATATTTCAGGGATAACAGATAGCTTAATGCAAAGGGATGACAGAATGTTGAGTGTGAGAAAGAGCATATAGGCTAAGTTGCTTGGATTATAGAACACCTAAAGGGAAGTAACATGTAACAAGTCTAGGAAAGAGAGTTGGCCCTAAGTTATCAAGAACTTCAAACTAAATAGTAGAGTTTGGTATTTGAACCTTGAGGTATAATCATGGTATCATAGATTTTGAGATAGAAGGGACCTTAGACATAATTTAGTGAAAGCTCATTCAATTTATAGATGAGGAACCCAAGGCCTCAAAATGTTAGCTACCTTGCCTGCTTTTTAATGTCACTTGCCCACTCACTGCCAACCACCGAAACCTATCTCCCACAGGCCATTTCAAAACCAAATTTCCTTATAAAGCATTCTTGAACCCCTAGCCAGTCATGATCTGTCTCCCTCCAAACCTTCAGAATTCTTTGTACTTTATTTGTGAATGTATTTGTCACATTGTATTTTGTACCATATTTATTTTCGTATATACCACACTCCCTGCCAAACTTCAGCTACCTGAAGGAAGGGTCTTGTCCATGTCTTAATTATGTTAGTATCTCCTTCAGTATCTGATATAGGTAGGATAAAGTGGACCTTTTCTTAGTGGCTTCCCATTAAATATATTAGATGGGTAGGGCTAGACCTTGAACATGCCTGTTTAAAAGCCTACATAGCGCAAGCTAAAAGTTCAGATTCCACAAGCTTAGTCTCTTTCTTTGGCTTTCCCCATTACTGATTTTATTGACTCTTGCTTTATTTCTGGACTGCTAATACTTTTATACTCTCAGTTCCCACATTCCTTACAAATTCATGATGAGGCTTGCTTTAATATGCTATACAAATAAACTCTTGGTATTGACTATCTCACTTTGTTGTAGATTTCAAAATTCCATGAGACCTCAATTTGAGCTATGGAAGAATTCTGGCTGCCTTACAACTGTGTCTTGCCCTGGTCTTGAGTGGAACCATCATCATCACGGAACAAAATGTTAAGTGTTTTTCTAATAACCTTATAAACTATGGGGTATATGAATTATTATTATTACCTTCATTTACAGAAGAGGAACCTGAGACTCACAGTGGCAAAGTAACTTTCCCAAGTATCAGACATCAAGATTGTGCCTACTGTGGTACCTTGCCTTTAAGAAATGTTTGTTCAATTGAATGAGGAAATGATTAGCTAATTCCATTTTGGATGCAAGCAATCATAATATTCTAGGAAAACACGGAGTTCTCACATTTGGGCCTAATGACATCTATCTGAATGTGCAGTGTGTACATTTGATATATCTTCACAAAATACCATTAATACTGAACAACAGTGCTAATGGGGAAATTCTGAGCAGAGTTATATTCCTTCCTATCACATAAATACCCCTTGGCAAAAGTTAACTTCTGCATATCTTTAGGGCAGTGGAATAGTTCATTCTTTCCAGTTGGCCCGTGTTAGCTAAGAATGAGTTTTTTGCCTGGATTGGAGAGAATCTCTGAGTGTGACAAACATGACCACCAACAGCAGCACAAGTAAGCACTTTTAGCCTTTCAATATTATTGATTCAGAAGAGAGGTAATTGCGTGATAACTACACCTACACCCTAACTCTGTACCACAAAAGCAATGATTGAATTTAGATTTAAAATGCAGCAAAGCCAATTTCATCAAACTGACCCTCAAAGTGAAACAACCATTTGAAAATGGAAGTATTCCCAATTTCCATTCAACTCAAAAAATATCTTTTAATGACCTCTGATGTTTGAAGTACTGTATTGGGTGATGGAAGTGGGAAATTGACATTGAACTGGAAGTCCCAAAACAGAACTTGTGCTCTCCTTCTCTCCACTCTAAACCCATCTCTCCTTCCAACTTTAATATTACTGTCAGCAGCACCACTATCTACCCAGTCACCCAGGCTATATAGTCCCTTTTCTCCATTTACATAGCCCACCTCCTAGTGCTAGCTCTTACCTCAAGACTGGACTATTGAAAAAAGCCTTCTGACTATTCTCCTTGTCTTAAGCCTCTCCCCACTTCAGCTCATCCTCCATTCACTGACCAAAGGTCTTCCTAAAGTTCAGGTCTGACCATGTCAGCCCCTCCTCAATAAACTCTAGAGACTCCCTGTTCCCTCCAGGGTCAAATATAAAAGACTCGCTTTTAAAGCCTTTCACAACCTGACCCCTTCCCACATTTAAAGTCTTCTTACATTTTGATTGCCTTCACTTCTTCTATCATCTGGCAATACTCACCTCCTTGTTGCTCCTTTACCATGACATTCTTTCCAACTCCAGTGCATTTTCATTGCTTATCTTCCATACCTAGAATGAATCCCCTCATCACCTTTGCCTTCCGGTTTCCCTGTCTTTCTTCATGACTTGGCTCAAATCCCACCTGTGCAAGAGGACTTTTCATCATTACCTCTCTTTCCCAAACCAGTGCTTCCTTCTGGGAATATTGCCCATTTAGAAGCACATCTGCAATGTCACTGCCTCCTAAGGTCCTCCAGGTCTTACCTTCTGCTTCTCTCTAAACCCAGCATGTCCCAAGCAGTTTCATCTGACATACTGTCATACCCTAAAGATTTCTGGGACTTTCCATCTGCCACTGAAGCTTCCCCATCAATCCTGCATCTAAACTTTTTCTTATTTGTTATCTCTCCTAATTATAGAATCTGCTTCTTGAGAACAAGGACAGTCTACCTTCTTCTATTCAAGTACTTAGTGCCTTGTACGCAGTAAGTACTTAATTAAAGTTATGTTTCTCCAATTCATTCATCTCATATGTAAAATATGGCTAATAATACTTCCATCACCTTATGAAGAAAACATTTTGTAATCCTGAAAGTACTAAAAGAATAGTGACTCATTAGTGAGTAGTGAGTCATATGAACCTTATGAAAATATTAATAATAAAGGAAGAAATGGGATGAGAATAGGCAGTAAGTCACAAAGGTTAGAAATAAATGTCTTGGTTAAGTATGGATGGCTCATACCTGTAGTTCCTGCTGCTAAGGTGGATAAGGGTAGTGAATCAATTGAGTTCAAGAGTTCTGAGCTTTAGCAGGGCAAATCAGAGGTCCATACCAAGTCTGGCTTCAGTAAAGTGGGTCTGCCCAGGATCAGAAAGTCATGAGAGCACCTAAGCACAGATTATTCAGCCCTGGTCAGAAAACTGGGCAAATTAAAGAATCCAAATTCTGATCACTATTGGGATCAGGCTTGTAAGCAGACACTACACTTTCAGCCTGGCTGAATTTGGGAGATCCAGTTGCTAAATAAATAAATAAATAAATGTCTTGATTTAGGTTGTTTACACACATGGTAGCCAAATAGTTTCATTGCTGTACTCACTATAATTTGTGGCCAAAATGAATTCAGCCACAGCTGTCTGTCTACAAAGCAGTGTGATTTAGCATACCCAGAAATATTACTGGTTATTGACACATACCATTATGTAGAAAACATATGCCATCAATTTCAGCCAAACTTATAGTAGTTATAGTTTTGGTAATCATTTTGCTGCTGTATATGTATTTAAGTCCAAATAATCCACCTGGCTCCCCAAAGGTGCTACTAAAAGGAAGGTTTGCAAATTCTTCTTCTGTGAGCAGGTATAACACACCACAAAGTCAATGAAGTCATCCCCTACAGAGGAACATGAGATTCATGTTGCTTTCAAGTATCTTTCCCTATGGCTAAGAGACAAAATAAGCTTCTTGTTTTTATTTGTATTTTTTTAAATTGGAGAGAGAACTCTACTTAACCCTAGTCAGCCAAAAGAAACAATGCTATAATTCAGTACCCTGGACAGCAGCATAGGGAGGTCAGAGATTGGGTTGAAAAAGGAAGAAGGGGAAGAAAATTAATGAATGAAGATAAGCCTAAAGGAACCTGCTATGAAAGACATTGTAAAGCAGAACTTTACAGGACATATATTCCCTTTGCTGGGCTTAGTTCAGATTCACTGAAATAAAATGTGCATCCTGTATTATTTCAGAGTATTACATTTCTAGAAAGAAAAGAAACACTCCCCAAAGCACCTGGTAGATACTCTAAATATATATTTTTTAAAATTCTCATTAAATACTTAACCAGCATCTTTGCAGGGCTGATTAAACTAATTTAACACAATTAGAAGCATAAACATGTTGTAAGTACTCAATAGTATGACTGCCTGAGAAAAATTCCACTCCATCAGCTTAACCACTCACACTTTTCTGGCATACTTGCATGAATCATATGGAAATCTGTTCAGTTCTTACTTTTTCTCCACCACTACCACCCCCACCTCCATATCCATTCCTTTAGTGAAAATAAAAGAATAAGCTTAAGAAATTCTCTAGTCCAACAGTTTGGCATTTGCTATTTAGTCTAGATGTATGCTAATTCACTCTGTAATTGCTTGTGGTGTCCATTTTTGGAACTGAAAAATGGAAGTAGGGAGATCTCTCTGTTTCATGCTGATGAAATGACATATTTGATTAAGTAAGCTAGGAAGCACTCATCTATACAAGTGTCTGCCTCAGCATGTCCTGAAGCAAAATCCAGCACCCACCGGAAACACTTAACACAGTACTGCATATTAACCATGTTTGAGTTACCTCATCTTCTCTGCCTCGATCCACAATGCTATAGCTATTGCCCAAGAGGTCGATTTCTTCCTTGTACTAGGTTTGTCACCCCACCCCCACCCTCCTATCTTTCAGGGAAAAAGGAAACATGCATAAAATTGTGACTTAAAAATATCAAGGATAAAATAATTTCTAGAAAAACCTCTTCATGATTTCTCCTGGCATATTACAGTAAGAGTAAATGTGGATTCTGAAGGGCTGCAAGCCTTCTTTTAACTTGCGAAAAACTGCATGCAATCAGGAAGTTCCATGTAGAATAAATGCCTGGCGTAGGTTAGGGCTTCAAGTACTAATGGACTGTATTCATCATGTATAATCTTAGTATAAGATAATTACTAAAGTATCTTAATATATTTTACATAGAGAGGATACAGTTTTTAAAATATTAGGCCCCATCTCTAAGAGGATATGAAGTTTCTTGAGAACAAATGGGCATAGTGAGAGATCTTATTTAGATTTAAGATAATGTCTCATCCAAAAGAAAAACAAGAACAAAAACAAAAACAAAATACTTCTACTCTGAAGGAAAATGAAAGCTAGAAGGAGCTAAGCTTGGAAACAGTTGAATCTGCCCAGGAAACACAAGTTTTGGCATTCTCTGAATTCCCAAAGTGGGCAATACCACCCCCTGGAAGATAGTGGAATGATCCAGCAGGGTACCAGTAGCCTTGGGTGCAATTGAGGGGGGCTTGAATAAAAATAAAGGGGCAGTGGAAGCATAAAGAAAGAAGAGAAAATTTTGAAAAAACCATTCGTTCATGTTTCATCTGTTGTGTAACAGAGTCAACATCATAGTAATTACATTATTTTCCAAATAAACACACAAAATGCAAGTTATAACCAATTAGTGGTCAAGTCTACCTAAAGGTTTAACAAGCAAGTGTTGGCAGGTGAGCGTGTCAAGGGAAGTCCTGCATGCATTGGTAGGAATATATGCATGTAAAGACTTGTTTATAAAATGATACAATATGGTTACATGACACAATATTGCATCATCAACATTTCAATACAGAAAAAAAACACAAATTTATAATAAATTAAGATGACTCATTTTTAAAAAATATTTTCTATTTTTTGAAACTATGCAAATTTAAAAAAAAAAACTGTTACGGGTTAAAGAAAGTAGATTTCCAGGGGGGTGCTGAGTAATTTTTTTTAAAGGGGTGGTAGACCAGATAAGTTTGGGAACTTCAGCTCTAAATGGAGCCTGAACTTTTTTCCTACAATTTAATCAGGTAAGTTAAGGCTATGGATCTAAGGCTAGGCACATTTTTAAGGTTTAAATGTACTGAGAGTTTCATGAACTATCAGGGGTATTGTTACTTTGTCCAACACACACAAACATACACACACACACTTGGCCACTGTCATCAAAATAGAAATAGTGGAGAAGCTAGGAGCCTAATAATTATTAGGAACTTTCTGGCCAAGGGAAAGACCCATTTAAAAAACTAATTAAAATAATCTAGCACATACCATATCCATTAGTCATGTCTATGTGTTACTTGGTACCTACATCCTGAGTTTTACAAACCATTTGAACTAAAGAATACTTAAAAATGACATGAAGTAACTAAACTTCATTCTGTAGCTTAAGAAAACAGGGAGACAAACCTAAATGGGTTACCAAGAGATTAAAAAACTACTTTTTGAGAGTGATAATCCTTTTATACAAGTTCAGAAGGTTCTCCTTTATGAAAAGCTGATTTGCAAAAGTTGGGATGTAAAGAAGGTTCAAAAGAAGTGGGGAAAAATGAGATGGAGGACAAAATGCAGTGTGAGTAGGGAACAACAAATGGGCAGCCCAAAGTACTGAAGTAGTACCCATAGTAAAAGTTATTTTGAAAATTAGAATGACTTAATTATGGGAAATCATCAGAAAAATATAGACAACAATCATACAAGATGAGAAAATTCTATAATCTTATGATACAGATAGGTTGAATTTTGTACACTAGAGCGATTATTCATACCAATAAGATAATGAATCCATCAAACTTATAACAGTTCTGTGATAGTTTCAGTCACTGTGATTTAGTAACTGTTTAGTAATGTTCAAGAAGTAGTGAATAAAGGTATGTTTGTGTGTGTGTGTGTGTGTGTGTGTGTGTGCTCGTTCATGCTTATTTGAATCAGTGAAATATATATCTTTATTAACTTTGTTTTCAATTGGTCAGTTAACAAGCATTTACTAAGTGCCTACTATGTGCCAGGAGCTGTGCCAAGCACCTGCAATAAGAGAAAAGCAACAAATACCTCTGCTTTCAAGGAGCCTACAAGGCAATGTGGAAGACAATATGAACTGCCTGTTTGTTTTTTTCCAACTCCATTAAAGAAGATGACCACACCTTATGTACTACCTGATGTCTTCCCCCTCCTATCCCTGACCCCTGGGGCATTTTCCTGCCTCCTTTTGTGTGTTGTCTCTCCTTGTCAAATTGTCATCTCCTTGAGGCAGGGGCATCTTTCTTTTTATTAATTATATCCCCACTGCTTAGCACAGTGCCTGGCACATTGTAGGCACTTAATAAATGTTTATTGAATCGGATAGGATAAATTAGAAAGATTTAACAGCAATTTATTGGTCACTTTTTAACTTTACCAGAAAACTCACTGCAATGCAGTTCTGGTTTAACTTTCCCTTACCCTTTACATCAAGTTATTTGCTCCTTAACATTGATGTTGACAGAGCCTTGGTTTATATTTAATCCAAAGGTGGCATTTACCATTGCAAAGGCTCTTCATTACATGAGAACTAAAGCATGTACTAGACTCCTTATCTGAAAAATTTAACCCCTACATGAGAAAAAAAGCTGAATTTTTTTTAACCTAATTGTCAATGATCTAGTAAAAACAAACCCAAAATCTTAACACTTCCAAACCATAAATGATTACAAATTACAGAAATCTGCCTTTTAGTTTTATAAGGAAACAGGCATATGAAATGTGAGGGCTTTCAGTAAAAAAGTATCACATTAAATCTGATTTTTTTTTGGTAAGCTGAGATAGTGTTTTGTTTTTCCTTGGCACTAGAAGTTTAGCTGCAGGAGACAGATTTAAAATTTGAAACACCCTTTGCTATTCCAACTTAACATTGAGGTAGA